GCCCTTGGTGAATCCATGCTGACTGTTCCTGATCACTTTCCTCTCCTTTAAGTGCTTCAGAATGGATTCCTGGAGGACCTGCTCCATGATTTTTCCAGGGATTGAGGTGAGGCTGACTGGCCTGTAGTTTCCAGGATCCTCCTTCTTCCCTTTTTTAAAGATGGGCACTACATTAGCCTTTTTCCAGTCGTCCGGGACCTCCCCCCGATCGCCATGAGTTTTCAAAGATAATGGCCAATGGTTCTGCAATCACATAGAATCATAGAATATCAGGGTTGGAAGGGACCCCAGAAGGTCATCTAGTCCAACCCCCTGCTCAAAGCAGGACCAATTCCCAGTTAAATCATCCCAGCCAGGGCTTTGTCAAGCCTCACCTTAAAAACCTCTAAGGAAGGAGATTCTACCACCTCCCTAGGTAACGCATTCCAGTGTTTCACCACCCTCTTAGTGAAAAAGTTTTTCCTAATATCCAACCTAAACCTCCCCCACTGCAACTTGAGACCATTACGCCTCGTTCTGTCATCTGCTACCACTGAGAACAGTCTAGAGCCATCCTCTTTGGAACCCCCTTTCAGGTAGTTGAAAGCAGCTATCAAATCCCCCCTCATTCTTCTCTTCTGCAGGCTAAACAATCCCAGCTCCCTCAGCCTCTCCTCATAACTCATGTGTTCCAGTCCCCTAATCATTTTTGTTGCCCTTCGCTGGACTCTCTCCAATTTATCCACATCCTTCTTGAAGTGTGGGGCCCAAAACTGGACACAGTACTCCAGATGAGGCCTCACCAATGTCGAATAGAGGGGAACGATCACGTCCCTCGATCTGCTCGCTATGCCCCTACTTATACATCCCAAAATGCCATTGGCCTTCTTGGCAACAAGGGCACACTGCTGACTCATATCCAGTTTCTCGTCCACTGTCACCCCTAGGTCCTTTTCCGCAGAACTGCTGCCTAGCCATTCGGTCCCTAGTCTGTAGCTGTGCATTGGGTGCTTCCGTCCTAAGTGCAGGACCCTGCACTTATCCTTATTGAACCTCATCAGATTTCTTTTGGCCCAATCCTCCAATTTGTTTAGGTCTTTCTGTATCCTATCCCTCCCCTCCAGCGTATCTACCACTCCTCCCAGTTTAGTATCATCCGCAAATTTGCTGAGAGTGCAATCCACACCATCCTCCAGATCATTTATGAAGATATTGAACAAAACCGGCCCCAGGACCGACCCTTGGGGTACTCCACTTGATACCGGCTGCCAACTAGATATGGAGCCATTGATCACTACCCGTTGAGCCCGACAATCTAGCCAGCTTTCTACCCACCTTGTAGTGCATTCATCCAGCCCATACTTCCTTAACTTGCTGACAAGAATACTGTGGGAGACCGTGTCAAAAGCTTTGCTAAAGTCAAGAAACAATACATCCACTGCTTTCCCTTCATCCACAGAACCAGTAATCTCATCATAAAAGGCGATTAGATTAGTCAGGCATGACCTTCCCTTGGTGAATCCATGCTGGCTGTTCCTGATCACTTTCCTCTCATGCAAGTGCTTCAGGATTGATTCTTTGAGGACCTGCTCCATGATTTTTCCAGGGACTGAAGTGAGGCTGACTGGCCTGTAGTTCCCAGGATCGTCCTTCTTCCCTTTTTTAAAGATTGGCACTACATTAGCCTTTTTCCAGTCATCCGGGACTTCCCCGGTTCGCCACGAGTTTTCAAAGATAATGGCCAATGGCTCTGCAATCACAGCCGCCAATTCCTTCAGCACTCTCGGATGCAACTCGTCCACCAACTCCTTTAGCACATCCGGCCCCATGGACTTGTGCTCATCCAGCTTTTCTAAATAGTCCTGAACCACTTCTTTCTTCACAGAGGGCTGGTCACCTCCTCCCCATGCTGTGCTGCCCAGTGCAGTAGTCTGGGAGCTGACCTTGTTCGTGAAGACAGAGGCAAAAAAAAGCATTGAGTACATTAGCTTTTCCACATCCTCTGTCACTAGGTTGCTTCCCTCATTCAGTAAGGGGTCCACACTTTCCCTGACATTCTTCTTGTTGCTAACATACTTGAAGAAACCCTTCTTGTTACTCTGAACATTTCTTGCTAGCTGCAACTCCAGGTGTGATTTGACCTTCCTGATTTCACTCCTGCATGCCCAGGCAATATTTTTATATTCTTCCCTGGTCATTTGTCCAATCTTCCACTTCTTGTAAGCTTCTTTTTTGTGTTTAAGATCAGCAAGCATTTCACTGGTTTCAGAGTAACAGCCGTTTTAGTCTGTATTCGCAAAAAGAAAAGGAGGACTTGTGGCACCTTAGAGACTAATCAATTTATTTGAGCATGAGCTTTCATGAGCTACAGCTCACTTCATCGGATGCATACCGTGGAAACTGCAGCAGACTTTATATATACACAGAGAATATGAAACAATACCTCCTCCCACCCCACTGTCCTGCTGGTAATAGCTTATCTATAATTATCTATAAGCTATTACCACTGTCCTGCTGGTAATAGCTTATCTATAATTATCTATAAGCTATTACCAGCAGGACAGTGGGGTGGGAGGAGGTATTGTTTCATGGTCTCTGTGTATATAATGTCTTCTGCAGTTTCCACAGTATGCATCCGATGAAGTGAGCTGTAGCTCACGAAAGCTCATGCTCAAATAAATTGGTTAGTCTCTAAGGTGCCACAAGTCCTCCTTTTCTTTTTAAGGATTTCACTGTTAAGCCAAGCTGGTTGCCTGCCATATTTACTATTCTTTCTACACATCAGGATGGTTTGTCCCTGTAACCTCAATAAGGATTATTTAAAATACAGCCAGCTCTCCTGGACTCCTTTCCCCCTCATGTTATTCTCCCAGGGGATCCTGCCCATCAGTTCCCTGAGGTTGTAAAAGTCTGCTTTTCTGAAGTCCAGGGTCCGTATTCTGCTGCTATCCTTTCTTCCCTGTGTCAGGACACTGAACTCGACCATCTCATAGTCACTGCCTCCCAGGTTCCCATCCACTTTTGCTTCCTCTACTAATTCTTCCTGGTTTGTGAGCAGCAGGTCAAGAAGAGCTCTGCCCCCAGCTGGTTCCTCCAGGACTTGCACCAGGAAATTGTCCCTTACACTTTCCAAAAACTTCCTGGATTGTCTGTGCACCGTTGTATTGCTCTCCCAGCAGATATCAGGGTGATTGAAGTCTCCCATAAGAACCAGGGCCTGCGATCTAGTAACTTCCGTTAGTTGTCGGAAGAAAGCCTTGTCCACCTCGTCCCCCTGATCCGGTGGTCTATAGCAGACTCCCACCACGACATCAACCTTGTTGCTCACGCTTCTAAACTGAATCCAGAGACACTCGGGTTTTACTTGAGGGAAGTACTTGAGGAGCTAGCTTTCAGTGGAATTTCAGGGCCAGGCCCAAACAGGCACTGCAGTTCCAGGTTCTCCAGGGAACATGTATTGTTGCTTTGCGCCCTCACCAAATCCTGCAGTTCTGTAGAAAGGTAGAAGCACCCGTTCCATTGCCAGGAGGTCTACGCACACTCACAAACAGGATTTATTCCCTAGTTCAAGATTTACAAAACCAGATTTTTACACTGTTACACTTGTGTGAACCTGGAGTGACTTCCCTGAAGTTTAATGGAAACACTCATGTAACTGAGATCAGAATCTGGCTTCTGTTGTTTTCAAGCAGAGGAACAATTCACAGCAAACTAAGCCCAAACACAGGTTATATTGGCCAAAGTCAGGAGAACAGAAAGCAAATCTTCTCTACTTCTCCAGATCATTACATCACTTCTTCAAACGGTGGCTCAGAACAAACATCCCATATGTTGCTTACAACACAAACAGGAGAGTGAAGTGCTAAAGCAGTGGTTCTCAAACTTTTTTACTAGTGACCCCTTTCACATAGCAAGCCTCTGAGTGTGACCCCCCTTATAAATTAAAAACACTTTTTAATATATTTAATATATTTAAATAATATTTAATATATATATTATAAATGGTGGAGGCAAAGCAGGGCTGGGGTGGAGGTTGACAGCTCACGACACCCTCCCCCCCCCCACTCCCTGCAGGTAATAACCTTGCGACCCCCTGAGGGGTCCCGACCCCCAGTTTGAGAACCCCTGTGCTAACGGAAGGAAATGTGGATGCAGATGTGAGGATAATTTATGTTTTGTGCAAAGGATTAATAAAGCAAGAGATGTTCTAAGCACTTCCCAGGGCGGGAAAATGGTTCAAAAAGTAACGCATGTGTTGGTGTTGCTATGTTTAAGAGCTCCGTTGCGTAGGAGAGAGTGTGAATGCCTCCTGCTCAGACATAATAGATTCAAATAAAATAAACGTTACCAGACAAGGAATAAAACTCACAGAGCAGGAAGAGGAGAAAATTACATTTAATTATAACCAGGGAGGCGTTCAGCCAATCACAGGCCGAAACCGCCCAAATGACACTCAGTGACACTACATTCAATCATATCGTTCCTTCCTATCAGCATATTTTAACTCCCTCCTCAAATTATTAACCCTAGCTACAACTTGATGACAGCACAGGGAAGTCAAAGACCCCTAAACCTTCTTAATCCTTGCATGTAAAGAAAACATCTCAAGGATTAGAGTATGGTTTTGTTTTTATCGTAAGGGAATTATCTTAAACAGGATGAACTCCTCTCTGTCAATATTTTATTTTTCCCCTCCAATAATGTGTCTATAGCTGAACCTTGATTTTAAAAGCACCATCCTTCACTTCTACATTGAAACACACAGTAGTGGGTGTTTTACAACGAGAGTGTGGATGGTTTAAAAATGTCTTTTGTATGGCAAAGTTCACTATTTTGGACATAAGTCTTGTGAAAAAAGGCAGGAAAATTACAGCAAGACATCAGTGCTTCAGTTTATCTAACCTAACAAGTATGTGACAGAACAGGAGACTGCCAAGAACATCTTCATGTTCTGTACAGATCTTAATCTCTCCTGTCGTAACTCCCCCTCCTGCCACCATCTCATTATTTTGTCTCCGTTCAAAAAAAAAAAAACAGACCACACATGATCTAGAACTCCTGTGTGTGGAATAAGGAGACCATCTCTGATAGATGCACTTCTTGTTTCAGGCTCAGGGAGTGCCCACTGTGCATCAGTTTAGTTGTATGGCAAAATGGCAATAAGGAATCAAACTGATTCTCAGCTTGCTGATGGACCAGATGACACTCAAAAGAAGAATTGCATTCGGATTTCAGATCCCCTCCTGACTTAGGGTACTGTTTACACTGCAATCTGAGTGCAGCTCATATAGACATACCCAAGCTAGTTCTGACCTACACGTGCTGCAGTCACACCTCTGACTGAAGTGTAAACATACCTGTAGGCACAGACTGCTCAGATATTTTGGGTGCAGGGATTGCTAGTTGACACAACATCCTCTGACAGGTTTCAGAGTGGCAGCCGTGTTAGTCTGTATTCGCAAAAAGAAAAGGAGTACTTGTGGCACCTTAGAGACTAACCAATTTGAGGCTGCTCTCCTTTTCTCTCTCACTCCAGGCTGAATAGCTGGGGGGAAGATGCTTCTCACCTAGACATGGTGGTTCACTGAGGTCATTTTACCATTATATAAGGTGCATTTTTTAAAACCTGAATGCTTTACGGTAATTCATCCTGAAAACCTCATAAACCCCATCAAGTGGCATCACTATTCTAATATTAAACTACAAACTATCTCAACTGCTAGAACTATATTGATACCAATAGTAAATGCAAACTAAAACAACTCTTAAAGGGAATACTATGAGAAAGGAACAGGTTTCTACTGGCTGGACAGGCTGATAGAAGAGGAACCAAGGACTTTTATGGAGTGGGCTGCACCTTTTACTGGAAGGGCTGGAATATTTAGACCTAGGTACAAATGCTGCCAAATATTTTATTGGTTTCGTGGCCAGCAAGGCATGACATATGGTGTAACTAACCTAATATTAAGAATGGGGAAAATTTAATCTGAATATCAATAAATGCAGACTGACAAGAAGATCCTTTAAGCTGCAGAATTCATCTGTAGGGAAAGGTGGAACACTCACTGTTTGCACAAAACACTAGGAAGTGTACTGCATGAATAATCCTGCACTGGCAGACAGACTAAATGGAGGATCCAATCAATAGGTCGTTCCCATTTAACTTCTATGGTTACATAAAATGACAACATTAGGGTGTGACTGGAGAAGGTACACTGCTACACATTGGGAAGTGGAAAACATTTTCTCCCAGCTGGCAGAGAAAAACTGGCCCAATTCTGATCTAATTAATTTTAGACCACATAATTCCATTGAATTCAACTGAGTTATACCTGATTACACTAGTGCAAGTGGAAAGATAATTCCTTTCCTGGTCCATGACAAAAGGTAGTCTTCAATCAGACATAAGAAAATAAACAATATGGACAAGGATACCAACTGTGAATTAAGAACAGTCTCCCAGATGTGACATGTTTTGTTAAATACTCTTACAAGGGGAAAAACCCATTTATTTCCTCCAATGTCAATCTATTTTGCCAGGATCAAACTTCTACCTTTTAATAAATTACGGCAGTATAAGAAAACCTTAAGATACACGAGGATTCCAGGAACACTGAGAATTTAAATTCATATGAAGTAAATGAAGATGAACACATTGACTGAGGCTTGAAACTTTAATTTAAAAAAGATACCCAAGAATGGACTAGTAATAGATGGTATCATGCCAATGCAAACGGAAAATGGTTTTTAAAAACCATCTCCATTTTAAGTAAATTTGAGTGCACACTATATAAATTGACTTAATAATGGTCTTCTTTGCTAGCTTTTTTGAAATATAAATCAGGTACGTCTATGCTACTCAAAATCCAGTATGTGCGCAATGTTAACCTAATGAAAACATTTTATAAATACAAACTTATTTTTAGTATTAATAATTGCAACATACTTAGTTACCTAAACATGTAACCAGAAACAGAACTATTTCATGTAGAATCTATCTGCCAATGGAATCTGTCTACAATGGAAAAATACTTGCTAATCCTTTAAACATTATTGAAAATGCAAATATACTTCATTCTTGGATTAAAACAATTGCAGATTTAAGGTTTGGAACAGTACACAGTATCCGTGCATAAGCAGCCTACAAGGCGGTTGAATACTTGTAGGTACTAATTACAATTTAGTGAAAAACAAACTTTTCGTAGTAAGTTTATAACAAATGTACTCTTCAGAAGCAAGGAGAGAAGATTTGTTCTGTATTTATGAAGAAACATCCATTTATTATAAAACAAGATAGGAGATCTTCGAATTTAGTGGAGACAAGGCAACATTAGAGCAACAACTTCAGAGCTTCTGAATGAAATGTAGTTTCAAACTTGCAAATCAAGATGAATGTAGCGCCTAACATGCTTTCTTCTTCTCTCTATAAATGGGATGAAGTAGAGAAGCAAAGCTTCAAGGTATAAGGATTAGAGCCATCTGTGAGAAACAAGGGCAAAATTAAATATTCGGTATAAGCTTTCTTGTATACAATTTTGTCAGTTAAGGAGCATATGTTTCCTGACATGCTTAGCAGGGGTGTGTTTTGGGGGTTTTTTTGTTTTAATTTTTCAGGCACTCCAAAGCCTCCAGGCATAGGTTCTCTAATAAACAAAGCTTATTTATAGAATGGTGGCATTTTCTAGACTACCATATAAAATGATAGTTTAGATCACATATACACACAGCATCCAATAAAATTGACTAGTATGTAGTAAAAAGTGCCCCCATTATTAACGGCCTCCACTGGAGGATTTATGAGAGCAACATTTAAAAAGGTGATTTCTAAGCCAAGAGAAGGTGGATGTTCAATGAAAGTGACAAGCAGGAGAAAAGTGAAACTGCTGTCAAAGGTAGAATGGGAAATTGGATGCACAATTTCATCCTTGCCTGACCAAGAAAACTCTTGTCTCTCTGGGAAAGCGAGGTGTCAAACCATCTCTCCTCTCTCTTTGCCAGAGGCTGCTGAGGGCTGTTACAGTAGAGCACTCTTACAGCTCTGGGAGGTCATGTGGGCTTTGTTCCCAGTGGAGAAGCCCACCTTGGGTAATACTAGTTTAGTATGTGTTGGTCAATGCTTCAAGTTTTAATATTATTTTGTTGACCTTGAACCAAAACAAGGTCTTTCCCTTAGTTTGTTGATTCTGTATTATGAAAGGACAGAGGAAATTTTTCTTCCCCCTCCTTCCTATCCATTAGGTCTCCCAGAAAAATAGATACCAAAGAATGAAAAGTGCATTACTCATAATTTCTGAAACCCTCATTTCCATTAGCAACAACTGCCTCAAACTGTTAGAATGGCAGGGAAGATACTTCCTCCTCTTTTAGCTTCAATAAGAATTGTAACTAAAATAACCTTAGATACGGGGCCGGATTGCGATCTCACATCCATGAGACCTGGAACATTTCTATTTGCTTTAATAGTTACTCCAGACCTCCACAGAAATCTGGCCCACTATTTTAAACAGAAATACAGGTAACTCCAGTCTCATTTCCTATCAGTTTGAAACGAAACTGGATTTATTTGGCCCCATGATTTCTTACTTAGAAGAGGTGAAACCTGCATAAGAATTATTTGTTTAGAGCAGCAGGCTGTATATTTACAATCCCAAACTGAATGAAAGCCCCTCACTGGTGTAACGAATTAAATTTTTAGATGTCATTAAATCGGCCAATATTTGAGTTCTGGGGTTATCAGAGAATATACAGGTTAGATTTCTCCATTTATTTTCATTTGGGGAATTTAAGAATGCTGTATTAAGTCAGACAGTAGATTTTATTTTGACTACAATAGTTTTATTTATTCCCTTTCTGAGAGCATGGCTATAGACAAAAACAAACTTTGTGATAGGAAATCAGTTTGAGCATCCAGTGGTTCTCAACCCTTTGAGCATATTCCATCCCTATACAGATATTACGAGTTTTTCCAACTAGACTCTAAAGGACCTCCATTTTTGTCAGCATTCCTGTAGTCAACTGAAATCTTGGCACTCATTATTTGGAAAGCTCTCAGCATAGGAATACATGTTAGGAACCTTGTCACTGGAGCACAATGAAGGAAAATCACAAGGACATCTTTATTTTTTCAAGCTGCAGATTTCACAGTATTATTTGCATCTGAGACACTTCTTAAAGAAAAGATATAATATGAAAGGGTGGTGGGGGAAATCAGAGGGAAATACATTTTTTGAACAGCAATTTATTGTAAAAAGTCTTAAATAGAATGACTTACTTGGGACTCTTATCTGGTAGTGATTAAGTACAGTGAGAGCCTCCACTGCATCTGTCTTGCATTCCCATTCCAGCAGACCAGAGAGCGTTTTGGCAGAAGCTGGAAGAATAAGAGAATCAGACCTTCTTGCTCCCAGAACAAGTAATTTTAAAACATGAACTTTATCTAAAAAACAAATATTTACTTACGTTTTGGATCAAACACTTTATATTTGATGAAAGTGAGAACTTCATGGTCATCACACAACTGCCACAGGAATAAAAGAAGAGATGAAAATATGACCAAGGTTAAGATTGAAATGCCTATTCCCAAATTCTGAAGAAGTGACTAATGACACTTAGCTTAGAAACTCTTGTATTCGACCAACGAGAGTTGAATTTTATTTAGGGTAGTATTCTCTGCATTTTTAAGTGGAACAGCACATTGAAGGAAAAAAAATTAAGATCCCTTCTGCTGTAAAAGATGTGTAAGAAACTTGGGAAAATTAACATTTTCTAACACGAAATGCTACTTGCTGACTATCTGGGAGGACAGGCACCCAAAACAAAAAGCATTCAGCCTAGAGAGAATTTCCAGTAATTTTTAAGACAAGTTATTCAGGAAAATTATAACATGCTTAGATTGTAAGCTCTCTGGGTGCGTCTACACAGTAATTAAATACCCGCAGCTGGTCCAGGTCAGCTGACTTGGGCTATGGGGCTTGGGCTGCGGGGCTAAAAATGTCTACACTCAAAATTTTTAGCCCCACAAGCCTGAGTCAACTGATCCAGGCCAGCTGCAGCCATGCTATGGGTCTTTTATTCCAGTGTAGATGTAGTCTTTGTGACAAGAGACTGCATCTACCTCAGTTTGTACTGTAGGTAGTACAATGGGGCCAGTCCTTATTGGGGTTTCTGTGCACTACCAGAATATAATAAAATATTAAGTTAGATAGAGGCTAGGGTTGGGCATTTGACCTGTCCAAAAACAACAGGTTAAATATTGTCAAAAAGAGTCAAATATTTTAAAGCACTAATTTATTAGAACAATAACTATAGTAATAAAAGAGACTTTATGGTCTTCAATAGGCTTAACCTTTAGATACTTATGCCTAATTACAATAAAAGATTACTTAACTGAATTATTTGAACTCAGAAAAATGTGAAACCCAATGAAATGAAGTTCTGTAAACTGAAATAATTTCAGCAAATTCTAGCAAATGTTAAATTAACATTTCAAAATGAATAGTTACAAAAGAAAAAAAATGAAATTAAATCTTCTGTGTTGGGAGGAGGTCTAATGACTGAGCCCTCCTCTTCCCCCATCATTCCCTTCAGAGTTAATTTCTGTATGCTCATCTAGTCAGGTTAGATTGTAAACTCTTTGGGGCAGGGACCAGGTCTGAACTTATTTATTGTGCTCTGTCAACCAGCATGTACGCTGGTGGCTAGGTATACAAAGCAAGAAAGACAGACTATTTGACCAATATTTGTGTATGTACAAGCACACACACACATTGTTTGTTCTAGAAGATTCCAGCCAATCAAGATGCTTAACTTTCAGTTAGTTCACCTTTTCCCCCAAACAGATGGCATTAGCATGCAATAAAGTGTGTGATCAAGACATTTAGATACACTTGCTAACAGATGGTACCACGATGCAATTGAAAAGGCAGGCCACCCCCTACATCAGGGCATTCCTACTGAAATATCTGACCATAGTCAAATAGGTGCTCAATTGACATTATTTGACAGGCCAATTGACTGGCTTGCCAACCTTATTTGAGGCACAATAAGGTAGTCGGAATTTTAAACAAAACTACCAAAATAAATATTTTAAACCATTTATAGCATGGCTAAATATTTGCACAATTACCCACATGAAGCATGGAGGTAGCTCTGAGGTACGGAAAGATAAGAAATGACTGAGCAACCATTACAAAAAATTAGGAAATCCCAAGTTAACTTCTCAGCCATCCCTTGTAATCTACAGTCATTTTTTATCTTCACTACCATCTCTCCTTTCCCCACCCTACCCTTCAAACCACCATGCACTAAGGTCTTCGTTTCTGGCTCTTGCTTCTCACATTTTGTTTGTTAAAGTTGCCATATTTCCAGGTTCAGGAGACAGAAGTACAAAGATCTTTTCACAGCTCAACTGGATAGATTTTCCATAAAGGGAGCAATGCTAAGCACTGCAAAAATACAGGGGCCTCTGTTCATATATAGCATTTAATGGGCTCCATCTTAAACATCAGTACTGTTACCATTCAGTTACCACAACTGTTCCTTATTCAAAGTACAGGGAAGGACTGTGTAATTCTCAGTACCAATGTATGCAACCATAGTTTTGGATTTCCTACCTTTACGAAGGTTTCTTCAGTCACACACAGGGGTACATTATAATAATGTAGCACGCAAGAAGGTGGCTGGATTATATTCTTGGATGCCTGGCCAGCACTGGTGAAGCGATTATTCTTGCTCATGGCAAAATCCTTGTAACTACTTGTACCATCCTCCAGCTCAAATATCTGACTGGGAACTACTGAGTGCTGCTTGGACACACTGAGATTTAAAGATACATAGTTAAGAAACACCCCCCATTCCGACTGAAGCTGTTCATAATCATACTTTTAATATAAGGAGTCTCAAGGCAAGAAGAAGAGATGACACGCACTTGCAGCAATGTGAAAAAAGTATTGATTCCCTTGTTTAATGCTTGGAGAAGGGTTCACAGATATGGCAATACAAAAAATTTTCATTAATGACTGTCAAAGTTAGCTATTGTCTTTGTACGTTAAGTCAAGTATGTTTACCAAGGTGTGTGTTGTACTGTTAAAAACTGCATAGTGCATGTACATCTGGTTTATATCTCACAGATTTACAGCTTGAATATCCAAAAACCTTTTTGATGCCCCATTTTGTAACTGTTATTTACCACCTTAGATTCTTATTCCAATTGAATTATTTGAAAATTTTTGTGAAGTGTCAATCAGTTGTTGTAGCAATAGGGAGCTGAGATTTTGCAGTCAATGCACACCTGAAAGTGAACTGCCAGTGTGATAAATTGCATATTTACCAGACATTAAGCCTCTTCCCAAATAACTTGACATTGTTGAGATGTGTGACAGCTCTTTCCACAGCATACTCATCACCCATTTCTACCAATGCTGTGCCTGGAATAGTCTTCATAAATTTTACCTAAAATAGTTCAGGAATAAGTGACAATGCAGTTCAAAGGAAACCATTACTGTAAGAATTTTGCAAGTTCTTCTGGAAAGTTGTTACATGCCAACTTAAAGTTTTCCCTGGTATCAATAACTCTGCCTAGAAAATAAGCTGTTCGCAGCCCTTAAATTCCAACATTAGATAGACGGAGTTGGGTTTAGTAGCAGCTTCCAAGTTCCTAATAAAATATGTTTTACCTTTTCAATATTTCCGTACAAGCAGAACAGGTTGAAGACCCTCGAACAGTTCATCTTTAGCTGATGCAACCCACTAACCATAACAACTGAGCCAGAAGGGTTTCCACCATGCATGTAAGAGGAGGAAGCCTGGGGTAGTGGGTAAGCAACAAGCTCTGGAGTATCCCGAGATCCCATTCGGTACCGGCTTGGTAAGGGTAACAAAGGACCATGTGATCCTACAGAAACGACAGAGACCAGGTTAAACACTACTCAGCATAAGCCTCATTTACTTACAGTCTATTAATGCTTCACTATACAAATACTTGATTTAAAAGGACACTATCCACTAAGAATTCTTTGTAATTTACTAACTGAATTCCTTTTTCTAGCTAGAAAAAAGATTCAGATCATGCAATTTATTTTCTTCCTGTCCACCCTCACGGGTTCTTCCTCAATGTTTAAGTAGTTTTGATGTTCAGTTAGTTTCTCCCCTGCTGACAATTCAGTGAAACAACAGAACTGCTGTCAAGTGCACAAACTGCAAAGAATATTTTAGTAAGAATTTTGGCTATTGTACTCTTAGAGGTTACTTGTTAATGTGTCTGCCCCTTAGAGGACAAACCTGATATTTGAATCCAGCAACTGCATCTCATGCAGGCCTTAATGCTGAAATTTACTGGATGCAGGCACAACAGCCCACCACAAACTGCAGCATCAGAACCATAATAGGTAGTTTCCCTCTACCACTACTGACCCATTTAACACACTCCTCCCAACGCAGCACACAAAAAATCCCTGCAAGAAAAAGTTAGGTTCTCTTAAATAAGCTGTCTGGCCAATTTAGTAGTCTACCGGCAGAGTGTCATGCCTCCACAACGGGAAATCCAAGTCTGAAATTCTAGCTTGAGGCCAGGCAAGGTTGGAATGGTTCAGAGGCAAGACACTCAATTTTTCTGGGGAGATGTGGAAGGCAGGGAAAGAGTGTCTTTCTTCAAACAGTTCTCCAACTAATTCATAAGCAACATGCATATTTAAGGCTCTACATTAATACAAATAAAAGCTGCCTTGTTTTTCACTATAGGTAAAGCCTCATTTTTCATGAAGCAATGTGACAAATTTCACAGTGGGCTCAACTGCATAAATCAATGTTTTAATGGTCACACTTTACTGAACTGACACAAAACACTTATAAAAGGTACTTGAAGTATTTCAGTGAATCATTTTCATTCACATTTTAGCTTGCAGGGGCTTTAACAACAGTGTTTCCTTTAGGGTGCTAGGGAGGTCTCCATTCTTCTGAGGCCTGGTCTACAGTACAAAAGTGAGGTTGACAGAAGGCATGTGTTGGGCATGTGTCGGGCATGTGTCTATGCTTAAATTCATCTCCCACTCATGTAGGGACCCCATTATGGTGACACAGTAATACAACCTCCCCGAGCAGAGGTGAGCTGTGGTTGATGTACTGAGGTAAACCTAGCATGAATACAGACACTGCGTTACCTATGTCAACCCTCACAGTCCTCCAGCAGCTGTCCTGCAATGTCCAACACTGCCCACTCTGGTCATAACTGTGAACTTCACTGCCCAGGTATCATGGAGACCAGAAGCTCTCCCCACCCGCCTTTGAATCTCTGCAAATTCCTGATTGTCCAGCTTGGCCAGGCACACCTAGCTGCTCTCCACTGTTGTGTGCAACGGCCCAGCTGACCATGCTGGCTCCAGACACACCTGGCTGGAGTACACAGGAGATATTAGATCTTCTGGGCCTGCGAGGAGAAGTCGTGCAGGCACAGCTCCAGACCAGCCACAGAAACGTGGACACCTATAAGCAGATTGCCCAGGGATTGCGGAGAAGGGACAGGACACGGACTAGCAGCAGTGCTGCATGAAAGCAAAGGAACGGAGGCAGACAGATCAGAAGGCCAGGGAGACCAACAGTTGATTGGTGTCGAGTCGCAGACCTGCCACTTTTACAGAGAGCAGGATACCATACTTGGCAGAGACCCCACTACCACCCCACAGTCCACTGTGGATACATCTGAGGAGCCTGAATCACCACGAGGACAAGAAGGTAGCAGAGGACGGGGACATACGACTGGTGGGTTCAGCTATGCCGCAAGCCAGGACCTGTTTGGGATGCCACTGCAGTCCGGTCAGTCCTGGCAGTTGAACATGGATGACCCTGATGCAAGGGATGGAATCTCGGGTAAGTGTGTAAATGTATTTCCCATTACATTGATATACTTACGGCATCCCCCAACTCAACAGGACACAGCTACTGACAGATCTCGATGAAACTTTCATGGAGGTACTCTGCAATCCTCTTCCAAAGGTTTCTAGGGATAGCGGCCTTATTTCTTCCTCTGCAGTGGGATACTTCCCTGCGCCAGTTGGTGATAATTTTGGCAGGCACAGTTGCAATATACAGGCTAGTGGCATATGGGCAATGCTTTGGGACCCAAGCAGCAGCTGTGCTCTGTTCCTTTGTCACCCTCAGGAGTGAGATATCATCAAAAACCACCACCGCCTGTGGAAATGGTGCCACTCCCATGGCCCTCTACTCAGTTTCATGCAACTGAGCAAGTCCCTCATTTCCCTTGCCCCTGGCAGGCCTTACACACCAGGGTTGGGGCTAAGAGTGGTGCCATGCACAAGCATTCTGAAGCGTCAATCAGCATGTCTTATTTAAAACTTCAGGGGAGTAAGGGAAGGGAGTTCTGAATCTTTACTGACAATGGTACCTCTGTGCATTTAATCTGTAGCTGCTGCCTTGCAGCCTTAAGGGGTTCCCCCTCCACATCTGTGGAATGCCTGAGCCAGATAAGGAGGAGAAAGAGGAGGACTTGGGAAGACATGTTCAGTAAGAGCCCGCATGCCAGTGCTGCAGACGACAGTGAGCAGAGGGCCTGGAGCATGAATGCTGCAGTCTCCAGGGAGATGGAAAGAACGGAAAGGAGAAAGGCCCCAGGGTCCCAGCAGGCCAAGGAGAGGGAGATGCACCAGTATGTAATGGGGCTTCTCCAGCAGCAAAACACAGATGCTGCAGACTCTTGTGGACCTACAGGTTCAACAATCATGAGCTCACCTCCCTTTGCAGTCCATGGAGAACTCCATTATAGCACCTCCCTACACACATACCGCCCCCCCCAGCCAGCATTCCACATGACATCAGAGGCCACATCCCTACCTCTTACCATTCCATACCAGGGAACATTAAGGACAACCACAGCTTCACCTTTACTGACATGGGAGAGCCATGGTTTCTGTACGTAACTAAAATAGACATGAATGTTCTTTCCCCTTCTTAAGCTCCGTTTCCATAAATTTATGATTTTTTTTAATGTATTTACTTTTAACTTGCACAGAATTTCTTTTGCAGTGTTTTCATTACTCTGTATAATTCTAGTGTTTGGAAAATAATTCCTCTTGATTACTTCACACACATGCTCCAGAATGGCTGGTGGTACTGAAAGCACCCCGGGTTATTGTAGTCTGAGACAACTCAGAAGCTCAATGACAAACAGTGTAATAATCATAAATGTACAGCAAACACCACAACATTAACAGGTGCATTGACAGTGTTATGTTCATAGAGGTACACCAGACACCACACAATTCCTGACAGGCTCCAAAACAGCAGGGGCAGGTAGATCACAGTACACCAAAACACATTACTGTGGTTCACTGTTAAAGTGCTCTTTCAAAGCCTCCCTAGCTGTATAGCTCTGCATTACGCTTTTCTAATAGCCCTTCCATCTAGCTATTCAAACTCAGCAGACAGCTGCTCCACCTCTGCCCTCCACCCCAGCAGCAACTTCCCCCCCTTGCTTCACAGACATTATGCAGGATACAGCAGGCAGTTATGACCACGGGGATATTTTTCTCATGGAGGGCCAATCTTGTGAGTAAGCAACGCCAGCGTTCCTTCAATCTACCAAAAGCACATTCAACTGTCATTCTGCACCTGCTAAGCTGGTAGTTGAATTTTAACTTGGTGCTGTTAAAGTGGCCAGTGTACACCTGAGCCAGGTGAGGAACTGGTAGGCTGGGTCTCCCAGGATTGTTAATGGCATTTCAATATTGTCAATGGTAATCTGCCAGTCAGGAAAGAATATCCCTGACATTGCTTTCTGAACAGTCCGGTGTTCTTAAAGATGTGTCATGCACGTTCCCTTACCAGCCAACACTCTCATCAGTGGAACGTCTCCAGTGATCCACCAATGCTTGCATAACCATACAGAAGTAGCCTTTTTTATTGATGTACTCTGTAGCAGGGTAGACTGGTGCCAAAACACGGATCTGCAGGCCTCCTATGACTCCACTGCAGTTTGGGAGTCCAGTGCTGCAAATCCATCCACTATGTGCAGCGCATTGCCAAGAGTCATAGAATCACAGAATATCAGGGTTGGAAGGGACCTCAGGAGGTCATCTAGTCCAACCCCCTGCTCAAAGCAGGACTGATCCCCAATTAAATCATCACAGCCAGGGCTTTGTCAAGCCTGACCTTAAAAACTTCTAAGGAAGAAGATTCCACCACCTCCCTAGGTAATGCATTCCAGTGTTTCATCACCCTCCTAGTGAAAAGTTTTTCCTAATATCCAACCTAAACCTCTCCCACTGCAACTTGAGACCAGTACTCCTTGTCCTGTCCTCTTCTACCATTGAGAACAGTCTAGATCCATCCTCTTTGGAAACCCCTATCAAGTAGTTGAAAGCAGCTATCAAATCCCCCCTCATTCTTCTCTTCCGCAGACTAAACTATCCCAGTTCCCTCAGCCTCTCCTCATAACTCATGTGTTCCAGTCCCCTAACAATTTTTGTTGCCCTCCACTGGACTCTTTCCAATTTTTCCACATCCTTCTTGCAGTGTGGGGCCCAAAACTGGACACAGTACTCCAGATGAGGCCTCACCAATGTCGAATAGAGGGGAACGATCATGTCCCTCAATCTGCTGGCAATGCCCCTACTTATACAGCCCAAAATGCCATTGGCCTTCTTGGCAACAAGGGCACACTGTTGACTCATATCCAGCTTCTCGTCCACTGTAACCCCTAGGTCCTTTTCTGCAGAACTGCTGTCTAGCCATTTGGTCCCTAGTCTGTAGCAGTGCATGGGATTCTTCCGTCCTAAGTGCAGGACTCTGCACTTGTCCTTGTTGAACCTCATCAGATTTCTTTTGGCCCAATCCTCTAATTTGTCTAGGGCCCTCTGTATCCTATCCCTACCCTCCAGCGTATCTACCTCTCCTCCCAGTTTAGTGTCATCTGCAAACTTGCTGAGGGTGCAATCCACACCATCCTCCAGATCATTAATGAGGCTATTGAACAAAACCGGCTCCAGGACTGACCCTTGGGGCACTCCGCTTGATACCGGCTGCCAACTAGACATGGAGCCATTGATCACTACCCGTTGAGCCCGACAATCTAGCCAGCTTTCTATCCACCTTATCGTCCATTTATCCAGCCCATACTTCTTTAACTTACTGGCAAGAATACTGTGGGATACCGTGTCAAAAGCTTTGCTAAAGTCAAGGAACAACACGTCCACCGCTTTCCCCTCATCCACAGCGCCAGTTATCTCGTCACAGAAGGCAATTAGATTAGTCAGGCATGACTTGCCCTTGGTGAATCCATGCTGACTGTTCCTGATCACTTTCCTCTCCTCTAAGTGCTTCAGAATTGATTCCTTGAGGACCTGCTCCATAATTTTTCCAGGGACTGAGGTGAGGCTGACTGGCCTGTAGTTTCCAGGATCCTCCTTCTTCCCTTTTTTAAAGATGGGCACTACATTAGCCTTTTTCCAGTCATCTGGGACCTCCCCCGATTGCCATGAGTTTTCAAAGATAACGGCCAATGGCTCTGCAATCACATCCGCCAACTCCTTTAGCACTCTCGGTTCACCGGGGGAAGGAGCAGTCCTGCGTAGCAGTAGACAATTAATGGCTCTGCAGACTTTCCTGACAATGGCCCCCACGATGGATTTTTCAACTCCAAAATGATTTCCCACTGACTGGTAGCAATCCAACATTGCAGGTTTCCATAGTCCAATTACCACTTGCTTCTCCACTGTCAGCGCAGCTCTCACAGTGATGTCCTTGTGCTGGAGGGGCTGGGGCAGTCTCAGCACACAGACCAAGGAATATGGCTTCACGCATCCGAAAGGTCTGCAGCCACTGCTCATCGTCCCAAACCTGCATTAAGATGCGATCCCACCAGTCAATGTTTTTTTCTTGGGCCCAGAAGTGATACTCATCATCTGCAGCTGCTCCATGAACTGGTTCTTGCTAGCTATATCTCACAGCAACTTGTCCTCTGTGAAATCGTTCTGTTCCCTGCTCATTCAGTAAAATTGTGCATCCTGTCCTTGCAATGCTCATGACAAAGTGCTGCTCTGTGCAAGCTCCATGATTCTGTCAGAGATGGTGGACAGTGAGGAAGGCCACACAGATTTGTGGGAATTTTAAAAAAGGCGTGAAAAATCAGGGACATAGATGACATCATGAGAAAGGTGCATGCTGGACAGTTGACCTCTTGCTCCCAGTCACGCTTGCTAACTTGTTTCTGCCCCACAATGCTTGCCAGAAGTTCACAAAGACAGAGTGCTGGAGGTGGCGAGCTGCACAATGGGATACCAACCCATGGTGCATTGCACTGGGTAATGCCACAAGCACTCCTAGTGAGTAAGTGCAGTGCTAACACAAGGAGCCAAGTTTGCATGCACACAAGTGATATACTACAGTGGCTTTATAAAAAGTTTGTAGTGCAGATATGGCCTAAGTCTGTGAACAGTTTAGTTTTCTCCCAGGCAGGAGATATGATACAAGGAGCCTACCCTGCAGTCTGGCCCACTGAGAGCAGAAACCAGAGGAGCAAAATGTTCAAAAATCACATATGAACTTAGCAGAAAGAGGACTTTGTTTTCCAAGGGTGGGAAAATTTTCTTTGAGAGGAGAAAGGGGACTCAGCTAAGTTGGGTGGGCATGTTTGTATCCCTTTTTTCCTCACCCTAACAGTGAACAGCAAATGGAAGTAGTGGGAATTCAAGGCTTGAAGGTCCCTGGGAGAAAGTTAACCTGTATTGTACTGTACAATACATCTGCATAGGAAAAAGCAATACAAAATGCACTGACTTTTGGAGATTAAGATGACCAAAAAAATAAATAAAAACTTAACTTGCATGTGAGACTTATGTAACATTTCAGAAATCCAAGCAAGATCTCTGCCTTCAGACCACTAAAGATGATGAAGATGGACTACATATGTTGGGGTACAGAATACTAGATACCCTAATAGAACTGAGTTCACTTGCTGACTGAACCTTGTAACAGCGATAGCAATAATTCCAAAGCTCTTCCCCAGAGGTATTAATGACATACTACCAATTGCAGACAAACAACAACAAGATGGATAATTAGAAGTGAAACAACAACCGCAACTAGTAGCTTTGAATGAAGGTCTCAAAAAGCTCCAAAGATTTTCCTGTAACTATTTCAGGTAACACACACTGTCTACAGGTATCAGTTACTAAGTTGTACTGTGCTGTCTAGAAAAAAAAAAATCTTGGTGCAGATATTTATCTCCTTGTCACTGTCTAGCGTGGTGGCAACTTACAGAGGATATTGTTCAAGGGATAAATTTGAACTGGGAAGCAAACAAAAAACAAAAACAAAAAACCAAAAAACAACCCTTTTCCCTAAAAGAAGGGTTCCAGGTGCAAAACACAACAGGTTTTGTCATATCACAAGCATCACGAACAACACATGGATTGACACTGGCACCTATGCAACAGCAGTACTGAAACTGAAGAAGCTTAGAGAGGTATAAAATTATGTAGACCATACTTCAATGCCAGCAGTTCTCAAACTGTGGGTTGGGACCTTCTCTGAAAGGGGTTGCCAGGGCTGGCTTAGACTTGTTGGGGTCTGTGGCTGAAGCCCAAACCCCACTGCCTAGGGCCAAAGCCTGAGGGCTTCTGCCCTAGGCAGCCGGGTTCAGGTTGCAGGCCCCTTCCCTGTGGCTGATGCCCTTGAACTTCAGCTTTGGCCCCCCCCCGCCCGGAGTGGTGGGGCTTGGGCTCTGGCCCCCGCACAGGGCAGTGGGGCTTGGAGAAGCTCAGGCTTCAGTCCCCCCTCCTGGGGTCGTGAAGTAATTTTTGTTGTCAGAGGGGGGTCACGGTGCCATGAAGTTTGAGAACCCTGTAACCTATAAATATCTGTAATTCCACCATAAAAAACCTAAAAGCCATGAACCACCTGTCACCCCATGTAACTTACCATAGCCATCATGTCTAAATGATGAAGGGTGTTCTCCCAAAATGGCTTGCCTCTGGCGGCCCTTCCCTCTGTCTAATATACAGAAAAAAAGCAGTTTTAACAAACAGACAAGTACACAATAATTCTCAAATTAAGATATTAGTTTCATCTAACAAGTGGAAAAAAGTAATTTGATTCACGGTTAACTTAAAAAATTACCCATTCAAATCAGTTTTTAAACACAAGCTGTCATCAGAGGACACCAGAATTAGGAAGAGGTTGTCTGCCTAACAAATTCCACTTAAGTTGAGGTGTTTTCTTTTTTTTTTTTTTTTTGGCAAAGAGAAGGTACAGACACTTTAAGTTTATGGGACTACTTGAAAATTTTCCGAAAGCGACATCACACACTACGAGAGGTAACACTTTAGAGTAGGGTTCACCTATGCATGTCCTAAAACAAGTTTTAGATACAGAACTTTTGAAAGACAGTACCTGAATCCTACTATTAGCTTCAACAGCAACACATTTTCAAAGTGGGCTTCTTTCAAGAAGTTTCAGCATAAGCCAACAACAACCTGTATTACATGGTTTCACAATCAGTAAACAGAGAGCATTACATATGCGTACATTATATTTACATGAACACCTCCTGGGAGTGCTGAAAGGATTGTGCATTACTGCATTATTCATGCTCCGTCACAGGTTCTATTTCAATTGCTGTAAAATGTCAGAATAATGCACTTCCACAATGGACAGTCCTTTGAGCAAACCTGGTTTATATAACAATCTAAAGGTAAGCAAGGGGTCAACATTACTGGATGGAAGCAGTGCACCACTTTCACAAGGGTTATTTCTAATTAGTGACTGCTGCGTACTGGAAAAATGCGAACTCCCAAGTTCACGTTTGGTAAGCAGCAGTTAATTTTAAAGAACATTTCTCACAGTGTTTTGTTGATAAGCCACTTCTTGAAGTGCCATATTCAAAGATGTGGTGAAATGTTTAAGTTTGCTATAATTATTATTATATTTAAATATGACTGAATGATGGAAATTGACTCTCCAGCCCACTACAATTAGAGTTTTCCCCGAGTAATTTGAACTGCTGATATGATAGCATACAATGGGAGATGAGAAATTGTGTGATTTCCACCTAAGATGTTGAGGATAGGTTCCTAACTAGATGATTACTTTGTCCATAAAAATCAAGGGAGGATGACGAATGCTCCCACACAGCTCTTTGGCCTATAGAAAGCCCCTGTGAAATAAGACCTCTTTCGGAGAGCAGAGATGAAAATTTAAGTTTAAAATCTCAGCCTGTAGTTCTACTCTCTTGGACCTATGCAGATTAACTGTTACAGTGGCTAGCTGTTAAAGAGCTCTATCTTTAATAGAGGGAATGCCTAGGAAGCAAATGTGAAAGGGGTCAGTCCCCTGTTGGCCAGAAGGAAAAGACATCTCTCCTCAACCAGTCACCTGATGACAACATACATGCAACTCAAGAATGTACTCCCCTCAGATTTGCAGATATTCCTTAGAAAGCCTGCATAAGTGGAGAAAACTCTTGAGGAAGGAAAAAAAAAACAGCTTGTGACCATACAGGACTAGAAATAGTTCATTCTTAAGAACAGAAGCAGGAAAATGTGTTCTCTGTACCCTAAAACAGACAGACGTGAGGTGGAATCCTGGGTCCACTGAAAGCAGTGGCAAAACTCTCACGGACTTTGGTGGGACCAGGATTTCAACAATGGTGCTCAAATGCTGTTTAGATGGAACTGAAAGAGAAGCTGAAATGACAGAAACTAGCTTTGAAACAATAGTCTAGGTCTTCTGAGAATTTCAGAAGAGACTGGAGGTACCTCAACCTACAAGGGAACCAAGGAATAAATGCTAGGTCTCTTGAGAACTTTTATTGCTGTGGAGTACACAGTGGCAAGGCAAGCCTCAGAATGAAGTTCCCTGGGGATAAGATCTTGTTTGCTGAAGCTAGAATCTTGGAGTCTGGGTACATCAAGTTCAAAGTTCACATAGCGCCATCAGAACTTCAGGAAGAGGAATGGCCTGAAGAGTGCATGTGGAACAGTTGGCATGTTACATGAAGTATGGAGAGGAAGTGCTGGGATAATTGCTAGGGTTACGGGCAGTAACTCCTCTATATGCCTGCTTCACCGGATAAAAACTAGCTCAGGGAGGTAGAGTTCAGCTATTTGTGTACTCCCCTATATATTACTTTCTAGATCAAGGGATGTGTGCAACAGAAAGAGAAAAATAACACTACAAAGGGACAGCTGGATAGTACAGATCTAATTCCCTTTCCTCTTACATCAGGGGTTCTCAGACTTTTGTACTGGTGACCGCTTTTACATACCAAGCCTCCGAGTGCGACCCCCCCTTATACATTAAAAACACTTTTTTATATATTTAACACCATTATAAATGCTGGAGGCAAAGCGGGATTTGGGGTGGAGGCTGACAGCTCACAACTCCCCATGTAATAACCTTGCGACACCCTGAGTTGACCCCCAGTTTGAGAACCCCTGTCTTACATGGTGTAAGGGATGTAAGTATCAATATGTAGATGACAAAGATATTAAAGCAACTGAACTAAAAAAAAAAGGAGGAGTGAGAAACAGATTTGTGCATTTTTTAGGCCAGAGTTATGCTGGAGAGAAGTTTCTCATCTCCCACTGTTTCATTTCCTGGAGGAACCCTGGTCCATACAGTCATATCTGTTTGTAACATAATTACGTAAAATAAAGGTTGTCATATTTGAGACTAGATGCCATAAAAGCAGCTGTAATATAAATTGCAATGGTTAAGAAACTGACAATCCACTTAATCTTTCAGGTTTTTTCATCCCTGCAGTTTCTTTGCTGTCAGTTTCTAAACATTTTTCTCAATTTTAATTTTCTTTAATACTTCCTGACTTCTTAAGAGTGAGTTTCTGAATTATGGTTCAAATATTGAAATTCTACCATCAACCAATACTGTAGCTCCCTTGTTAACCTTTTACAAGAACTTCATTTTGAAAATCCAAAACCTGCATTTTTAATTATACAACAGTTTTACAAGCCAAACCACTCCTGATAACACCCAACATTTCTACAAAAATGTAAGTTTGAGAGTGCATCTCAGAGAGAAGTCAAAGCCCTCGCTTTCATATTTCAGACTTTGAAGATACTCTACCTTGGTTAGACATGTTATGTTTCCACCTCCATGTTATTATGCACTCCTAGATTTCTAAAGATTACATTATAGAAAAACTATTATTGTATACAAATTACTGAACACTGAACAGTTACAAAAAGAGAATACTTTAAATACTTTACAGAAGTCAGGCTACACAGCAATTTGTCTTTTACATTTTTAGTCATATTTTCGCTATTAAGCGGTAAGCTCTGACTAGTTTTCACAGTTAAGAACCTAAGAGACAAGTTACACATGCACCACGTGTGCACCTCCTTGCTTCAAATACTTAAAATGTAATATACCTGAGGGAGCTTGTTTAATATTGTATTATTAATCCCAGGTAACTACAGACAAATCCTTCAGTTTACTTACTATGAGACAATTTACACTGTAAAGACTGACTACAGTTGTCTTAAATACAGCAAGGAATAAAATAAGAGTATTACAACAATGTAGATGAGATCAACAAGAAATTTGGGATTTACCATTTTATGGAGGTTCTTAAATGTTGCAATTGTAATTAAGGGAAATAAGACCAATATACATGAAAACTTGAACAGAATGGGTACAGTCTACCATGGTATTCATCCCCGGCAAATCTGAAGTACCTTAAGTGTCCTCCTTTAAAAACTTGGGGTGGTGGTGCATGTAGTATGCAGACAAGGTGAATTGCGAGTCTGAGGTTTTCAGAGGGCTTTTTGCTGATGCCGATGCAGTGCATGATGAAGTGTAGAGTCAGCCTGCTGGAGTCCTCTATCCTTCTTAATGCCTTGTCCAACATAGGGGAAAAAGTCCTTTCCATAGAGAAGCAGTGTGCAAGTTTGTAGTTTGTAAGGAATAGTCTGTATCAGTTTCCTCTCCTCCAAAGAGTGAGAGCTGCTTGGAGAAATGCAAGTCCTTGTACTGCGAACATGCTTGCATGTGTGGGCTCCTTGTTGCACTAAATAGCTCATTGTACACCAGTAGGGGGCACTAATGTTCAATGTTACTTTGTTCCTGGATTACATGTTGGCCTTTGCAAGACAGCCTTCATCAGCAACGGCTTGTTTGAAATGACTATTGCATTACATAAGCTAACCATGTATAAAGTAGTGTCATTGGCACAGTCAAACACTTACAGCTATAACATATAAAAAACCTACCTCGTCTGCCCAGATACGGTTTAGTGTAGTCCCAACTATCATTGTCGTTTCTAATGACATTAAGTCGAGTTGGCTGTTAAAATTTAAACACAGGGTAAGTCTTGAACTTATGCACTTCATCAGTAAAATAGTTAACAGAGAAGATCTGAGCATTACCCTTGCATATTCAATTTTTAGTGTACAGCATCCTGCATATATATCTGCTCCATTGAGTGCTGCTTTAGCCTTCTGAGCACAGAGAACTGATTCAAACATAAATCTTGTTAAGGATTTTTTTGTTTTTAAATAAAGATTTGTTTTCCCCCCTCCAAAATAATGAAGCAATCCAAGACATTTTAGAGCAGCCTACAGTTACTTTGTTAGGAATAAATGAGAGATCTAAACAGTCACACTAGTTTAAAACCGCTGAAAAGCACTGGGAGTCCAAGTTCTCAGCTGCAGCCAGAGCCATAGGATACCTGCCTTTGAAGTGTATGTAGCCCAGGTTGAGCTGTTTCATAATTTAAGCATAGACTCATTCTGCTTACAGTCTATGCAGGTTCAGTGAAAGCCTTAGTTTATTCACACATGTCTCTCCGTGCTGAGAGCTTATCCAACTTCTAAATGGTGGACACCCTACAGCTCAGAGTGAAAATGGAAGTGGCCATGTCAGCTGATATTCTAAGACAGGGGTGGGCAAACTTTTTGGCCCGAGGGCCACATCTGGGTGGGGAAATTGCATGCAGGGCCATGAATGTAGGGCTGGGGTAGGGGGTTAGGGTGTGGGAGAGGGTGCAGGAGGGGGCTCAGGGCAGGGGTGCAGGAGGGCTGCAGCAGGGGTTCGGGTGCAAGCTCCAGCCGCTCCTGGAAGTGGCCGGCACCATGTCCCTGTGGCCCCTGGGGGGTGGAGGACGGATGGGACAGCGGGCTGCCCTCACCTGCAGGTACCTCCCCTGAAGCTCCCACTGGCGGCGGCTCCCTGTTCCCAGCCAATGGGAGCTGTGGGGGGGGGGGGAAGAGGGCGGTCCCTGCAAGCGAAGGCAGCGCACAGAGCCCTCCCCCCACCCCCAGGGGCTGTGGTGCTGGCTGCTTCTGGGACAACGCAGGACTTGCAATCCTGTGGGTTGGATCCAAAGCCCTGATGGCCTGGATCCTGTCCACGGGCCATAGTTTCCCCACCCCCGTTCTAAGAGCTTGTCTCCATGAACATGTAATTTATGGCAAGCTAGGCGTCAATCTACCCTGCCACACACCAACTGTCCCTTGTGGACCCTGCTTATGCACCTTAACAGTTTGTTAATGCACGTCAGCAGGGTTCACATAGACAAGCAGTCTGTGACAGGCTATTGCACGGTAGATTCACACCCTAGCTTGCTGCAAACTAAATGTGTAGGCAAGCCTAAAACGTCAGGCTTACTACACACTAATCAGAGTATGTGGATGTAGCACGTTACCGACAAATATGGCGAATGACTGTGCCATGGTAAGTAAGGACAAGGTTCAAACTAAACCCTTGAACAAGAAGACTGGAATCGGTATCTCCTCTTAGCACTACTAAAACCAGGCCTGGAAGGTAGGGTCTGGACACACAAGAACTATCACCCTAGCATGGAAGGAACTGAGGATATAAAATGGGAAAGAGTCGAGTAGTCCATCACTCCCAAGAAAAATTCTACCACTGAACCAGGGAAAAGAAGTTTGAGAGAGACTTCTTGTGTTTGGATTTGTTAGTCAAACTTTGTGCTTGTAGATGGACAAGCAAGAGACCCCAAATGGACATTTTTGACAACAGACACTGTATTTGTGGCCTGAGATTAAAGAGAAATTTGCTTTAACTTCACTGCCCTGTAGTGGACATGACACCCTCCAAGGCAAGTGTCCCTGCAATATGCTAGGCTCAATACATGGGGGAAAAAAAATAATATTCTTTACATATTTTGAGATTTTAGTTTTCTGGAGACTAGCACAAGAGCATACAAAATGCCTGCAGAGACCAAGGGGATGGCTTATGTCAGGGTGTCCCCTTCTTCCACAACCCCTGTACTCAGTGGTCTGCTGTACCAGACGGCCTAGATTCAGCAGCACCCAGCACAGCAGACCATACAGTTTGCAGCATCTTTTTAATGGGGAAAACCATGAAACTGACTTTACACAATATGCTACCAAATGCACAAAAATGATTAGCCTGTAACATTCATCTTAGGGGTCACTTTTAGCACAGAATATACAAACAATGAACAAAGATGCGATTTAAAAGTGGTAATATTTTGGAGCAGATCTATCTGCTGCATACAGTGGAAATGACAAAGCATCTTGAATCTAATAATTCTCAAATTTGTAGAGCTCAAGATTAATGTAAAATCTTGATGATATATGCATGCTTAAGTCTCATCTGCAGCTGAGAACATACAAATATTAGTGTTAATAAAAGGATATTCAACCATTGCTTGTATTCCATTTCTCTTGAATATAACAATACGTTGCACTTTCCCAACAGGGTTGCACACAGTATACAAGACATCCTATAAATGAAGAAGAAAAGTTATTTTAAAGAGACATTTCAAGTTTGACATTTTTATGAAGGTTCACAAGTGTTCTACAGGACTTCGAGGTGTATGCATGTGTACATGGAGTAACTTTCACCGTATCAACATTTAAATCTCAAAGAAGGATAACCCCAGTTATTTATCAAATTATGGCTACTTTACATGTATATTAAGAAATGTTAATCTTAAAAGATGATGATTTTTCCTTATATTGTTGTATCACAATCAAAAAACAGTCAGCTCCCTCAAAGGAAGATTTAGAAATTGAAAGCAGACAAATACATAACCTCTTAACCAGGGGCTCTCAAACTGGGGGTTGCAAACCCACAGGAGGTCACGAGCTGTCAGCTTCGTGCCCACGTTAAATTAAATTAAGATTAACTTAAATTTAAAATCCCTGTTTTTAATTTATAAGGGGGGTGTCGCACTCAGAGGCATGCTGTGTGAAAGGGTTCGCCAATACAAAAAGTTTAAGAATCACTAAAGGAAGCATTCACACAAGTATTAGGCTTCACTCCAGGATACAGCTCAGGCCACAAAAGTAGAACTCCTTTCTCTCTATGCCATATCTCTGGATAATGTCATCTGCAAACAAATTAGTGACTCGGATCGATCTCTCTCTCTCTACCCCACATCTTCCTTCTTCTGTGCAAACTACAATTTCATCTCAGCCTGACTTTCTAATATCTCCTAATGGAGACACAGACATCCGTTTAAACTCAGCATGGCTAATACAGAGCTCCTAATCCCACCCCCAAACGCCCTCCTCACTACCTCCTTTCTCAATCACTGTGGACACCACCACCATGCTGGCCTGCCACTCAGCCCTATAGCCTGTGCCTCATGTTCAACGCAGACTTCTCTCTAGGTCCTCACATCCAGCCTGTGTCTCAATCATGCCAATTCTTTATGCATTTCATCTCTAAAATCTGGCCTTACTTATCCATTCACACAGCGAAAACTCTCATCTTGACGGCTGCAACCTCCTTCTCTCTGGCCTTGACAAATGCAACCTAGCCCTTTTGACATCTATTCAGAATACTTCTGGAAAGATTTTCCTAGCTATTGTTTTGACTGTGCCATCACTCTTCACATCCCTCCACTGGCTCCTTCTTCTCTATCACATCAAACATAAGCTGCTTTGCCTTCACTTTCAAGGCTCTTTACAGTCTATCCCCATCCTATCATCTCTCATTTGCTGTTGAGATGTCAACTTCCATTACTGATCGGCCCCTCGTTAAATTTTCAAACAAGCACCTTCATGCTTTCTCCCATGCTGCCCCTAATGTCCAGGACGAGCTCCCTATAAACACCTGCAAAATTAACTCATTATCCTCCTTCAAAACTCTCCTCTGCTGTGATGTCCATAAAAAACTTGATCATGGTTAGGCTGTTGGTGTGTTGAGTCCTCTGCCCGCCAGATTCACTGTTTCCTTGTACTCCCCTCCCCCCCCCCGGTAGTCCCTTGTTTTATACTTGGATCGTAAACTCTTGGGACATGGACCATATTTTTGTTGTGTGTTTGTACAGCACTTAGCACAATGGGTCTGGGGTCCTGGTCTATGAATAGGGCTCCGAGGCACTATGATAATACTAGTAATAAATTTATTCACCCAAACCAAAGTATTTGCAGGTGGCCCTCCTGTCCTATCACTGGATGCAGAGAAAACCTTTGACTGCAAGAATTATGTTTTTGTAGTGCTATAGCACATGGCATTCAAAGTTTAATTCATAATTTATAAAAGCCACATTTTCAGCCCCAGCCTTTGAGAGTAGTGCTGAATGATGAAAAGGACTTGAATTTCATCTCCAGAAAGGGGAAAGATACAAGTAAGAGAGCACCTTGTATTTCCACTACTCTTCGCATGAGAAGCTGTACCCAGGCCAGTGCAATATGCAACATGTCAAAGTATCAAAAGTAAAGAGGGATGTTTTATGCAATGACAAATTGTGACATCACAAAACCCACACAATCTGTTGCCTTGGTTTCTAACCTAGCAGATCAACTGATGGCCAGAAAATAAGCCAGTTAAATAGTGAGAGAACACCCATGATCAAGACTCCAGGTTCTCATCCCCTGTAATGGGAATAAAGAGAAAGTGGGATTTTTTTTAGAATAATACACTTGAATATGAAGGTCTGATATATGTTCAAGTAGTTGTAACTTTTAAATTAAGTTTTAGTAATCATCGATGGATCACTCGATGATTGCTTCTGAAGCATATGGCATTGGCCATTGTCAGAAGACAGGATACTGGGCTAGACAGACCATTGATCTGACCCACTGTGGCTGTTCTTATGATTTTAGTAGATTGCCTGCTAGGGTTAAGTGTAGAGCTCACAAAACAGAAGTCTTCAAAGATACTGCATAATAGCTGTGCTCATCCCATCATGCTTCAAAAGTGTTATGCAATGTCTGAAGGGTTCAGTAGCCAGAATTCTGAAATATTAAGTTGCTATATACTTTTGTAATGTCTTTCAGAAACTATTACTTTAACAAGGGGAATGTCATTCAGCTTTTAAGCCATTAGGAATATTTGTGATTGAGAGAGTTCTGTTGGACTGTTTTCTGCTCATACTAACTTGCTCTGATAAAATATTAATAGTTGTCTTGAGCAAATATTACTAAAAATGTACTATGTACTTAGAGCATATTAACTGCTAGCAAGTTTTATGAGTGCACAAGCAAGAGGCAGCTAGTTTTAGGGGAAAAGGGCAAGGTTATCAATGAAAAAAAAAAATCAATTAAAAAGGAGTGCCAAATACTCCTGACTCCAATTAGTCAAACCTGTAAATCAGACTGTTTTACTTTCTGCAAGCATAACCAATGTTTTGGATATACAGAACAGGGTCTTATAAACTGTACCTTCATACAAATGGATGCATCCTAAGTACTGGTTGCATCTCTGGACAAGTCTGATATGTACATGCTTAACTTGAATTCACTGTTGTAACAAAAAATACACCAAAACTGACTGCATATTAGAAAGCTTAAATGGATACCCATAATTCTTCTGACTCACATAAATACATTACATAATTATAACAATAAAGGGTATGCACTGGAAGTGAAGTTGAGAGGTTTTTTAAAAAAATTTAAAGAAACATACCACTGTAATTGGGTAGAGAGGATTTTGAATTGATAATAGGAGAACTTTGTTTCCACCTGATGGATCATCCGTGTTCCCTGGCCGAGTGATCCTTTTGCTTGTAGAATAGTTGAAAAAAGCTTGCTGTCCAGCAATATACACTGGCTCATCTGCTGCAAATGTCACACACTTCTTGGCACTTTCTATGTTTTCAAATTCCACCAAAGCCTGGCGTTTAAATGGCATCATCATGACATAGCTGGTCAGTAGAAAAACACAGAATAAGTTCTCCTGATATGCTTTTTCTTAAGATGGCTTGCCATAAATGGAACAATGATAATTTTTAAAAAAATTCCCTAGTGTAAGACAAATGGTCTCCCTTCATAAGTTAGTAACTTTCATTCCATTCCCTAAACCAATTCATGTAACTATAATTATAAAGTACGTTTTTACAAAAAAGTTAAACAATTTATCAGTAAGTTAGATAAGCAACAAGCAGTGTTTTCAGAATATAAAGAGTTAAATATTAGTCTACTAACGCTTGTAATGTTCACAACTAGCTGATATGAATCATATACTAGCCCTGCTAGAACTATAACTAGCTGAAGATTTTACTTCCAAAACAAATGTTTTTAAACTGTAGCTAGTAAAAGGTCATGGATGGTCAAGTGAAAATTGCAAAAAGAGATCAAAGCTTTGACACAGTATCAGAGTGCGAAAAACCTATAACTCTAGCATAACTATTCTTATAGCTAACTATTGAAAGTCTGACTGCAGACATGCAGCGTTGAATGTACAGTAACGAGACTTTATTTGATTAGCCATCTTGTGTATAGAAAGTACCATGCCCGCAGTTAGAGACATTGCCAAGAAGTTCAGTGTTCCTGTGCTAGTGACTTAATTATTGATAAAAATGGCCATTTTGAGATTAGGGATGTCATTACAAGTCTAGCAGCTCATTTAGCTTTGTTCTCAAAAGCAATCTTACCACCAAAGCTCCCAACCTGCCTTAAGCCACCAGAGACATGGTTTTACTACAGTCAACATACCATATGGTTCCAAATTTTTCAAGAGCCTCCACAAGGTCCGCTTCTACGACTGATTCACAGAGTCCTCGGACATGGACAACAGGAGAAACAGAAACTTTGTGATGACTTCCACCCACATCCTAACAAAAGCACAAAAATTTTCTAGTTTATTCCAGAACTTAAAACACAGCTATAATTAACCATGTGTAAATAAATGTCTGACCTCCCCCCAGCAAAAGTGCCTCCATCCACAAGATCTAACAAGTCAATTTCTCTCTCTCACACACACACGCACAGAGAATCAAGCGAGTCAGAGCAAGCATGTTGCTGAGTTGGGTATTGATGTTCCCTTAAAATTAACCAGCTAACCAAGCCTCCAGTTTCCAAGTTTGGTCACCTGCATTAGTAAGACCTTGTCTATACAAGGAAGCGAACCATAGATTACAAAAGATTTCTACTGTGGAATAAACTCTCCTCAACTGCGGAGGAAAATTATTTGGATGCAAGCACAGATAAGCCTGAACAACTTTTTTTTTTTTTAAATATTCTTCCAATCTAGTTTAAGCCAATTTTTGTTGGTGATATGCAGAGAGGACAAGGGGGACTGAAGATCCATTACTGAAATCTGAACCACTGTGGGTCATTTTCCTACTGTAGACAGGATCTGAGTTTCAACAGCATTTTCTCACACTACACAGGAAGAAAAGCAATTAATTGACTACAGGCCCTGTATTTTATGTGATTATGCACTTTCCTCACATCACTGAGGGCTACATCAGCACTTAATCAGAATTACACCTAAGGAGTCAGCACTTAAATAACCCCCAAATTTTTATGTATTTTATATCCTATTTTCTGATCCTAGGGGGCATTTGTACACACCTCTGTGATTAACTACTTTAAAAAGATTCAGTATCAAGGGGCAGCCGTGTTAGTCTGTATCCACAAAAACAACAGGGAGTCCAGTGGCATCTTAAAGACTAACAGATTTATTTGGGCATAAGCTTTCATTAGTCTTTAAGGTGCCACAAGACTCCGTTGTTTTTAAAAAGATTTAGTATCTCAATGACACAGCATAACTCCCACAGTGAAGATTTTCAGAGCTTAACGTTATCAAAGAATTTCATTACTCAATCAATTCCTTCACTACCATCCCCCACAAACGGCCTGCATTGAGAACGGTATATGCCAGGTCATTAGCACAAAAACATGCAGGTTTCCTTTAAGCACTATCACCATGTTTATGCATGACTGAATAGCTCAGGTGCTAATTTTTAGTTAATCTTTCCCTGTGCATCCTTGAAATAAGAACAAGGATGGTAAATTTCAGCCCAAAGACAAAGAAGATGAATAAACCGAAGAAGGAACAGACATTGAAAGATCCAAAAATAGCAGGAAAAATTAGATATTAAAGGCATACTAAATAAGTTGTGACACAAACAGCTGTTGTGGTCAACTCCTACCACACTACAGATTAGTGCAACGTCAAGTTAACCAATATAATTTTAACCAGGTCTGTTTTGTGGAAATATATCCATGCAAAAGTGTAATGTCTTCCAATTATGGTGTAGATGCCTTGACCTGGGGTCCTCAAGCCCCCTCAGGATAAGCAATTAATAAAGAGTTTTGCATAAATTAGCTTCCAAGATTGTCTTTCTTATAGTTCAAGAAGTCCTTATCTTCCCTTCCTACAATGTTTTTTTGAGCCTGCAAATTCAAGGACATTGACTGCAAGTTTAAAATAGATGTGGGTTTACAGTGGATTATTTACTTATTTGTAGGTGTGCAGTAACTACATTGAACATGAGTTTCTTGCAAAAGCAAGATTTGTTATTTCTCTTTAAATCCAGAGTTCTCCCCTTTGAACAACTGATTTTTGAGGCGTTAGTAATATTTCCAAGATTACTGTCCTCAATATCTGCAATTACAAACTGAAAATGGCTTTGACACTGAAATCCTTATAAGCAACCTCAGAATTTGCAAACTCTGGACAGCCAGTGAGTAAATTACTTTGTAATCTTAGTTTTAGTTGCAGATTGTTGTAGATACTTGAAGGATTATATTGTTTTAAACTGCAACATGTGTTTCTTGAAGACGAGTGGTGGTGGCCATTGTGGGGAAGAGCACTAATCATATTTGCATAAATCACTACAACAATTTCCTGAATTAAATCCAGTATCTTTGAGGTCTAAAGCGATAGATATAAAATTAAACAGAAGATTATTATGCTTTCAGCTGCAGGCATTTAAAGATTGTGGAGCATTGAGGGAAATACACAGTAGTTTCTATTTTCCTCTTATTCTGTTCTTTCTTCTGTTCTCTCCTGCTGGTTGGTAGCAAATCTAGTTCTACTCCAGTCATGGACAGCACCACCGTACACAAAAACAATGAAAAAATATTTCCATGGATAATCATTGAAATTACAGATAGGCAAAGGAAAAAAATGCCACCTGACAATTTTTTAGAGTTTGATTTAAGGAGATTTACTTTCTATATTTTAAACACAAGATGTTGGCAATTTGTGTTTTAAGGGTTATAAAGCTTTAACTTTTAAAATCTCAATGTCTGACATTATTGTCTACACCTCATAAGTTTGCACAAATGTGAAAATTTAAAATAGATAAAAATAAAATGCTTAAAAATCATCATCATTATCTGCCAAAAATAAAAACCAGCTTCTGCCAAGCCTAATTATATCAGTGTGCTCAGAAGGCCAGCTGCGTCACAGAGACCCAGCCAGTCAGCACCTCATTCAGTCTGACAATGACTCTGGGCAGCCAAAGTTATCTCCTGCAGACATCCCTATTTTGGTTAGCCCAAGTGGCTCCCAAAACACAAGTTCCCCCTTATCCAGTGTCACACGGGAAGACCAACCTCTTGCAGATGGAGCTGAAGGTTTGGAGGGGGAATAAAAGCCATATTAATGCTCAAGAATCCCCATGCATAAAATGTGGAGGGACCCACAGAACAGAAAGACACAGTACTTGTAGCAGCTCAGGGATAATACTGGCAAAAGTTCTTTGGGGAAAGAGTGGGAAAGAGGTAACAAAAATCTCAGTCTCTTACCATGGGTGTAAGAGGTGTTTAGCAGGATTTGCAACCTTTAAGGCTGACAGGACTCCTACCTGAAAGCTCCTGATTCAGCCCCACTTGCGAATATTCAGACAATCAGATGTGCACAGATGTGATGGGAAGCAATATGAGAATACAACAAGATGACACCCCTGGGTGTAAGGACTGGTCTCAACAATTTTCTACTGCTATAAATGTATCTCTACAAGAATAAGCTATACCAATATTTTATATATCTATATCTTATCTGCTTAATGTGCAATGGCAGTCAGAAAAAATAATAGAATGTTAGGAAGCATTAGGAGAGGGATCGATAGTAAGACAGGAATATCATAATACCACAATGTAAATCCATGGAACACCTACACCTAAAATATGGAGTGTAGTACTGGTAGCCCCATCTCAAAAAAGATATATTAGAATTGGAAAAAGTAGAGAATGGCAACAAAAATGATTAGGGGTATGGAACAACTTCCATCTAAGGAGAGATTATGAAGACTGGGACTGTTCATCTTAGAAGTAAAACAACTAAGGGCGGAATATGAAAGACGTCTATAAAATAATGAATTGTGTGAAGAAAGTGAATAAGACACAGGAACCGGGGTGTCTCAATGAAATTAATGGACAGCAGATATAAAAGAAACGTAAGGAAGTACTTCTTCACACAATGCACAGTAAACCTGTGGAACCTGCTGCCAGGGGATGTCGAGAAGGCCAAAAACATAACTGCATTAAAAAAACAAAACAAAAACAAAACAAAACCTCAGATAAGTTCCTGGAGGATAGGTCCATCAATGGCTATTAGCCAACATGGTCAAGGATGCAACCTCATGCTCTGGGTGTCCCTAAACTACCGACTGGAAATGAGGATATGGAAGTAGAAATTACTAAAACAGCTTTATGGGACCAAATCAGGGGGCCTGGATAATCTGTGTCCAAGTATATTAAAGGAACTGGCACATGAAATTGGAAGTCCAGTAGCAAAGATTTTTAATGAATTCATAAACTCTGGGGTCATACCCTACGACTGGAGAATTACCAATATAATACCTATTTTTAAGAAAGGGGGAAAAAGTGTTCTGGGAAACCACAGGCCTGTTCGTTTGACCTGAATTGTATGCAAGATCTGGGAACAAATTTTGAAAGAGAAAGTAGTTAGGAACAAAGAGGTAAATGATAAATCAGGATAAAACACAACATGGTTTTACAAAAAGGTAGCTTGTGCCAGACCAACCTGATATCTCACTTTGAGAAGATTTTTTTTAGACAAAGGAAATGCGGTAGATCTAATCTATCTGGATTTCAGTAAGGCACTCAATATGGTTCCACATGGGAAATTATTTGTTACATTGGAGAAGATGGGGACTAATATGAGCACTGAAAGGTGGATAAGGAACTTGTTAAAGGGGAGACAACAACAGGTCATACTGAAAGGTGAACTGTAAAGCTGGAGGGAGACTGCTAGTGGAGTTCCTCAGGATTGGTCTTGGGAACGATATTATTTAACATTTTCATTAATTGCATTGGCACAAAAAGTGGGAGTGTGCTAATAAAATTTGAAGATATCAAAAAATTGGGAAGTATTGCCAGTACGGAGAACAGGAATACCATACAAGAAGATCTGGATGACCACAAAAACTACAGAGATAGAAATGGGATGAAATTTAATAGCACAAATTGCAAGGTCATGCACTTAGGAACTAATAACAGGAACTTTTGCTATAAGCTGGCGTCTTGTCAGTTGGAAGTGACAAGGGAGGAGAAAGGCCTGGGTGTATTGGTCAATCACAGGATGACTATGAGCCGCCAATATGGATGCAACCGTGAAAAAGGCTAATGCAATCCTAGGATGTATCAGGTGAGATATTTCCTGCAGAGAGCAGGAAGTGTTAGTACCATTATACAAGGCACGGATGAAACCTCATCTGGAATACTGTGTGCAGTTCTGGTCTCCCATGCCATGTTTAAGAAAGATGAATTCAAACTGGAACAAGTGCAGAGAAGGGCTACTAGAATGATCTTCTGAGAGGAGACTCAAAGAGCTTGGCTTGTTTAGCCTAACCAAACA